ATAAGGCTTTGAGCCAATTTGGGATCGAACCCCCCATCTACATTTGGAAGCAAGTCATAAAATTTCTCACCTACTAGGCCAATGCCCAATGGCTTTTTTTCGTATCGGGAAAAGGAAAACAAAGTTACATATATATTTCAATAGTACAATTCTTTTGGTATTAAAGTGATTCTACTAGAAATGGTTGACTTCAATATGATAATAGTAAAGTCTTAGATTAATAGCATATTAACAAAGTATAAAGGTTACTAGGACACATCATCCTAATAGTCTATACTGCTTGTGTAAGCAGAATTTTGAAGGGACAGGATCTGCAAGGTGTTCTTCCTCCTGCCTTGGTGAACTTACCCTTTCTCAAGATAATGTACCAACCTACACTTTCTACATTTATGCAATTATCTGTTCTGCTTATTCATATTCTTGGCTTGATTAATAGTATTATTTTTTTGCAGCGATTTCACCCGCAACTACTTGAGTGGTACAATTCCCCCTGAATGGGCTTCTGCCAAATTTGAAAATCTGTAAGTTATGCTGTGTATTATAACCTAAGCTATATATACAAGTGTAAGCCATCTGCTTGTCCATTGTAAAGAAGTGAAAATTTGCAGAACTCTTACTGTGAATCGATTGTCTGGGCCAATTCCAACATACTTGGGAAATATAACGTCTCTTGTATATTTGTATGTTCCCTTGCTCCTCTTTCTCTAGCTACTTACATATGTTTAACATTTTTTGAGGAATTAAATGTTTAGTTTTTGTTGTAACAACGAATGAATTTTCAGAAGCTTGGAGAACAATATGTTCAATGGAACTGTTCCACCCGAGCTTGGGAAACTTTCAAACTTACAGAATCTGTAAGAATCCTTCCCTTCGATCACTAGCTAAATATGAAATTTTCGTTATCACTTGTTTTACGGACGTTTCTCTATTTTTGCTCTCTGTAGCATTCTGAGTGCTAATAATCTCACAGGTGAATTGCCAAAAGAACTTTACGCTCTCACAAATTTGACAGAGCTGTAAGTGCATCATTCATATTCTTAATTTATTTGTTTTCTTCTATAATTTATGTTGATCTTGTGATGTGTCCCCGGAAAACCAATGCAGTAGACTCAGTAGTAATAACTTCACTGGGAAACTGCCTAGCTTTCAGAGTTGGAAAAACCTTCAAAAATTGTAAGCATCCAAATGTAACACTTCAAAATTGGAATGTTTAGATGCAACAATTTTTTTTAATTGACAAACACGATTTGCAGAGAGCTTCAAGCGAGTGGTTTTGAGGGGCCCATACCCGAAAGTATTTCTGTACTCGCAAGTTTGATAGAACTGTGAGTTAAGATTTTCCTTTGACGATTTCGATGATAGCATAATTTGCTATGGCCTATGGATAATATCACCAAATGAAGTTTAATTGTCAACAACATGAATCTGCAGTAGAATCAGTGACCTAAATGGAGGCGGAGGCTCCCGATTTCCTACATTAATAAACATGCCAGGCATGATAAAGTTGTGAGTAACACATTCTCGTTCCAAAAATATAAACTCAAGTTTCGTATTTCCACTATGAGTCGAAGTTATTTATGCAAAAAATAATTTTTGGGTGCAGGATGTTGAGGAGTTGTAATATTTCTGGGACGATACCTAACATAGCTTATATGACAGGCTTGCAATATCTGTAATTTCTGAAACTTGATTCTTCGTTTGATACTTCTCTTGTGTGTAAATTTCGTATCGCCTAAGAGAAAGCTGAAGTATAAGCTGAAAATATATTAAACTTGATACTTACACAACATGAAAACACTCGGCATTTTCAGAAATATAATGCTTGACTATTTTGTTGTGATATATATTGAATTCGCAGAGATTTGAGTTTCAATAATCTAGAAGGAGGGATTGATGGTCTTCAAGATCTTGCTAAAGTGCAATTCATGTGAGTAAACAATTACTTTTGATGTTAACGATTACGTATAATCTATTTGGTCATATTGTTCTAATAGACATCTAAACAACATTCTAGTTATATATGTTTCTTATACTTGCATTTGGTTTTTGTTTGTTCTAGGTATCTTACAAATAACTCACTTAGTGGACCGATTCCTCAGTGGATTCTAAGTCAAGATTCCAGACAGTAAGTTCAGTCTTATACATTAGATGAGTTGTTTATATCTGAGTTTTCAACTATTCTTTGTCATAAAAAGCACTAATGGATTTAGAAGTTGGTGTACAGTGACATCGATCTTTCCTACAATAATTTTGATGAAAACTCAGTGCCAACAAATTGTCGGGAAACCCTGTAAGATTCTGTCCCTTTTATACCTCTACTCTTTCAAATGCTCCTTCAAACATGGATCATTTTAGCTGACTTTCTCATTGTACTATCAGAAATTTGTTCAAAAGCTATAAGGCAGGAGAAAGTTCGTAAGTTTTAACATCTTTTGACAAAGCATATATGTACATATATATATTGATAACATAATTTAGTCCCCAAAGATTTTATTTATTTTTACTTGAGCTCCCTTTTGGCTTTGTATAGAGATGCTGCAAAGTGTTTTCTGCAATGTTCGAAGGGTAAGCACATCCGATCCTCAAAGTGTTAGCCGTTTTCTGTATAAATATATCATTGTATGACTAATGTCTAGTTCATTTTTCTGCAGATTGGTATTCAATTCACATCAATTGTGGCGGAGGCGATGTTTTGATTGGTGACACTACATATGACGCAGATGAAGATTCCACTGGCTTCACGAAATTTGTTCCCACTAGAGAGAACTGGGTAACGAGTAGTACAGGGGTCTTTTGGGATAGAAATAAAACACTGCTCGACTATACAGCAAAAAATAAATCTGTCATCGAGGGAAATGACCCTCAACTCTACCAGACAGCTCGCTTGTCTCCTTTATCTCTGACTTATTATGGACGGTGTTTAGCGAATGGAAACTATACCGTGAAACTTCACTTTGCAGAGGTAGTTATGAGAGATAATAGATCGTTTCAAAGCCTTGGAAGACGCGTATTCGATGTTTATATACAGGTGAACTAAGAATTACAGTTTAAAGTGAGGACTTCAACTGTTAAATGATGTGCATTTGACTATATATAGTGGTTTTATTGGTTCCAGGGTGAAAGGAAATTAAAAGATTTCGATATTGAAACCGTTGCACAAGGAGTCGATAAAGCCTTGGTTGAACAATTTCGAGCAGTAGTCAAAGATAAAACTCTAGAGGTGCGCTTTGAGTATGCTGGGAAAGGAACAACAGCGGTCCCGAGTAGAGGAACATATGGCCCTTTAATATCTGCCATTTCTGTGGAATCTGGTAATCTCTCCTATATATTACCTATGGGAAAATGTTTTATCCTCCCTAATAGTCTTAAACCTGCATACATCTCATTTAATCTCATTTTCAGAAAATTTTTAAAATCTAATTTAATCTCATGCCATTTTTACCTGCAGATTTCAAGCCTCCTCACAAGAGAAAGACTTTAATTATAGCTGTTGCAGTAGCTTCTTCTTTATTTCTTATTTTCACAATTCTCTGTTTTGCTTGGTGGAAAATCTACATCAGAAAAAAGACCTCACAAGAAAACGGTACTTTGACTTTGCAACAATTTGTGCGTGCACTCACTTCACATAGTATCAAATATGCACACACGTGGAGCAACCTCAGCCAAGTTTGTCATGTTGTTGACTTGGTAACCACAAGATTACAAGTTCGACTCCTAGCGTAGCGGCCTGTTGGCTTTCTTGGTTTGAGCCGGTCAGCTGTGGAAAACCTAGGCTGGTTTACCATCTTTTGATTCTCTGCCAGTTAGGGTTACAAGGTGGGAATTACCCAGTGCACACCCCTGGTAGTGGTTGTGAGTTCATTTGGGGAGGGGAAGGAGGAGGGCTTGTTGAAGATGTGCTTGCAGAGGCATCATCACAAACTTTTTTTTTTTCATGCACTATAAATTATATTTCTTAAACTTTTTTTTGGTGCAGAACTACAAAGTCTTGATCTACGAACGGGTCTATTTACCTTAAGACAAATTAAAGCCGCTACAAACAACTTTGATGCTGCAAATAAGATTGGGGAAGGTGGTTTTGGGCCCGTATACAAGGTATAGTGAAATATATGTGGATATTCATAATATGTTTAGTACTCCGATCCGTATGTTACCCTACATATATCAACACTTGTTTTTGGGCTTACTATCATCCATAGATGCTTATGTTGATGTTTTGGGATTTTCCCTTCTGTATAAAACTAGGGTACACTATTGGATGGTACAATTATTGCTGTGAAACAACTCTCATCCATATCAAGACAAGGAAACCGTGAATTTTTGAATGAAATAGGCATGATTTCTTGTTTACAACACCCTAATCTTGTGAAACTTTATGGGTGTTGTGTTGAGGGAAGGCAACTGTTGTTGGTGTATGAGTACATGGAAAACAACAGCCTTGCTCATGCTCTTTTTGGTAAGTTCAAAGTCTTAATTATTTTGGCTGCTAGTCAATAAACAAAGGCATGGGTATTATGAGTTTACGGTTAATTACAGGTCCCGAAGAGTGGCAACTGAAAATAGATTGGTCTACCAGACAAAAAATCTGTGTTGGCATCGCAAAAGGTTTAGCTTTCCTCCACGAAGAATCAGCATTAAAAATTGTTCATAGGGACATTAAAGCCACCAATGTGCTTCTTGACAAAGAACTCAATCCAAAAATTTCTGACTTTGACCTAGCTAAACTTGCCGATGATGGGAATACACACATCATTACAAGAGTTGCGGGGACAATGTAAGATGTTATAACAATTCCTAGTCCATTATGTATTTCGAAATTCATCATATAGTTTTTAAAAGAACAATTAGGCTTGCAACATTGCATCTTGTTGCCATAGGTTGATAGAATTGATCACATTTGCCAAAATTTTGAATCTCCGAACTTCTTTCTACGCTTCTCTGCATTGAACTTTTCAAGAAAATGAACTGTTGTTCTTTACTTTTTTCTCTACAGATGATATATGGCTCCTGAATATGCAATGTGGGGCTACTTAACAGACAAAGCTGATGTCTATAGTTTTGGAGTTGTGGCATTGGAAATTGTTGCCGGAAAAAACAACATGAAGTATCGTCCTAATGAGAACTACGTTTGCCTTCTTGATTGGGTGAGATATATATAAAAACTACCAAACTCATACATAGATACATTGCAGACCTTACAAACTAAGTGGGATGGCTTATTCTTATACTCTGCTGTGTTTTGTTGTATTTATGCACACTTTTCAGGCACTTGTTCTTCAAAGAAAAGGAAATCTAATGGAGCTAATAGATCCAAGATTGGGTTGTGATTTCAACAAAGAACAAGCAATCAGAATGATCAAAGTGGCTTTGCTTTGTACTAATCCTTCTCCAGTCCTAAGGCCATCCATGTCTGCAGTAGTCGGCATGCTTGAAGGCCATGATGATATTCTTGAGTATAATTTCGATCTTCACGAATTCAATTTTGAAGTAATGAGGGACGGTTATGATGAAATGCCAGTCGACTCGAGTACTTCTTCCAACTAAGTAGAATTTTCTTCCTAAGCAAATTAATAGTGAAATATTATATTGCATCCAAAATGTAGAAGAAATTGCATTGTACTATAAAGTTGTATAAATCATAAAGAAACTACAGTGACTATACAAACTAGTTCTATCAATGATATACCATTATCATTAATGAATTAAGGTTTTCTGTAGATGTTCTATCATCGTATTGCACCTGGAACATGAACTATCATAGTCAAGGAACCGGCAGATGTTAGTAAAAGAAATAAATGTTTGTCTTTTGTGAACTATCATTATATCGTGTTTATGTGTATGTATATTATGAACATGAATTTTGTGCATTGTAAACATAAATTTTGTACATTATGAATCCTGATCCACGATATAATTTGCGCCTAGGCGAGAGGTTCCTGCTAGTGGAGACTAGTCAATTTCTTGAATTTCTTAAAGATAACAATTTTTTATTGTTAATTTACATCTGAGGAAAAATTTACTTTGTAAGGAGAATCACTTAATCCGAGTGGTGTTCCATCATAACAATCTCTTATTGCTTGAAGATTGAATTCATGTAGGTCAGATTTGTACTCAGGAATATCATCACAGCCTTCAAGCATGCTAAGAACTGCAGACATGGATGGCCTAAGGACTGGGGAAGGATTAGTACAAAGCAAAGCCACTTTGGCCATTCTGAGAGCTTGTTCTTTGTCAAAATCAGAACCCAGTCTTGGATCAATTAGCTCCATTAGATTTTCCTCTTTTTGAAGAGCAAGTGCCTGAAAATTGTGCATTAAATACGACAAAACACAACAAAATATAAGAATAGGCCACTTAGTTTGATATGTTTGCAATCAATGAATTATAAGTTTGGTAGTACTAATATCTCACCCAATCAAGGAGGCAAATGCAATTCTCATTAGGACGATACTTCACGTTGTTCTTGCCAGAAACAATTTCCAGTGCCACCACCCCGAAACTATAAACATCAACTTTAAATGTTAAGTAGCCCCACAATGCATATTCAGGAGCCATATATCCTCTGTAAAGAGAGAGAAAAAAGAGTAATTGTTACTAGGTATTTTTCTGGAAAGAAACAATGCAAAGTAGCATAAAAAGAAGGATGAAATTAAAAATATCATAATATTTTTTTTATTATAATTTACTATATTTTATTATAATATTTACTATTTCAAGAGCCATTTATTAATTCTGTCAGTTAAAAATATTTGCCTCTTTATACATGGCTGGTGATCATATAGCCTGTTTTTCATCCCTTTGACAAGGATGAAATTTTAAAATTAAAACCAAATCTGTTTATGTTTTAGCATATGAGTAAGAAATGATAAGCGAGCAGATGGAACATACAATTTCTTTCAACTATATGATGAATTTGGAAATACAAAATCAACAAGAAATTGTTATAAGATCTTACCTTGTCCCAGCAACTCTTGTGCTGATGTGTGTATTCTCACCGTCATCAAGTTTAGCTAGACCAAAGTCAGAAATTTTTGGATTGAGTTCTTTGTCAAGAAGCACATTCGTAGCTTTAATATCTCTATGAACAATTTTTATTTCTGATTCTTCATGTAGGAAAGCTAAACCTTTTGCAACACCGACACAGATTCTATGTCTGGTTGGCCAATCGATTTTCAGTTGACAATCTTCTGGACCTATAATTAACTGTTAAGTCAAAATACTTATTGTCTTTGTTATTGCAGCCGAAAAAATTAAGATTTCAAATTTACCAAAAAGAGCATGGGAAAGGCTGTTGTTTTCCAAGTACTCATACACTAGCAGCAATTGCGTTCCCTCAACACAACACCCATAAAGTTTCACAAGATTAGGGTGGTGAAAACAAGAAATCATGCTTATTTCATTCAAAAATTCATGGTTTCCCTGTCTTGATTTTGACGAGAGTTGTTTCACAGCAATAACGGTACCATCCAATAATATGCCCTGATTTTATACACAATGAAAAACCATGATCATCAAATTAAAATAAGCATTTACTGTAAGTCCAAAAATTAAAGGCATGAATTAAAAGATTGACATATTGTGCATATTCTCATTTCTCCATACCTTGTAGACTGGTCCAAATCCACCTTCACCAATCTTATTTGAAGCATCAAAGTTGTTTGTAGCGGCTTTAATTTGTCTTAAGGTAAATAGTCCAGTTCGTAGATCAAGGCCTCGTAGTTCTGCACTAGGATAATGTATGACTTTAGAGAAATTGCTAGTGCATGGAAAAAAATGTTTTTGGGATGAACAAGCTTAAGATTGTCACAATGTCAAAGTTTCCCATACAAAATTAATTAGAACGAAATTGAAATTAAATGAGGAATTTACCCCTTTCTTTTGAGGTCTTGTTTCTAGTGTAGATCTTCCACCCAGCAAAACAGAGAATTGTGAAAACAAGAAACAAAGAAGAAGCCGTTGCAACAGCTATGATTAAAGCCTTCATATTTTTGGGAGGCTTGAAATCTGCAGGTTTGTAGACGAAACATGAGAGTGAATGAGATATCTTTTAACTAACAGAAACAATGAAAAAGTAATCTGCAAAATTGGGTAAGATCGAGTAACTATACATTAACCATATTTAAAATTAAAAAAAAAAAACTATATATTTATATGTTATTAATAAAAAATCTAATTAACCTCATTGGTGCTATATGGGAATCATGACTAATATTACCAGATTCCACAGAAATGGCAGATATTAAAGGGCCATATACTCCTGGAAGTGGGACTACTGTTGTTCCCTTTTCAGCATACTCAAAGCGCAACTCGAGAGTTTTATCTCTGACAACTGCATGAAATTGTTTAACTAAGGCTTTATCAACTCCTTGTGCTGCAGTTTCAATATCAAAATCCTTTAATTTCCTTTCGCCCTGTAGCCAATAAAAACGGTAGCTATAGCCTATAGTGAAATGGATATCACTTAACTATTGAAGTTATCAATTTAAAATGTAAAGTTCTCAGTAGACCTGAATATAAACATCGAACATGCGTCTTCCAAGACTTTGAAAAGATCTATTATCTCTCAGAACTATCTCTGCAAAATAGAGTTTCACAGTATAGTTTCCATTTGCTAAACACCGTCCATTATATGTTAGAGATAAAGGCGACAAGCGAGCTGTCTTGTAGATTTCGGAGTCATTTCCCGTGATGATAGACTTATTTGTTGCTGTATTGTCAAGTGGTGATATAGTTTTATCCCAAAAGTACCCCGTATTACTAGTTACCCAATTCTCTCTATTAGAAACAAACTTTGCAGGGCCCGAATCATCGTCTGCGTCATATGTAGTGCCATTAATCAAAACATTGCGTCCACCACAATTGATGTGAAATGAATACCAATCTGCAGAAAAAATGAAAAAACAAGCTAGACATCAACCTTACAACATTTGATGTATAAATGTATTGTGATATCATGTGCTTACCTTTTGTGCACTTCATTTGACAATTTCCAATATTTCTACGCAAATCCAAAAGCGGGATAAAGTTAAGAAATCTTTGGAGTGACACTATATTCATAGTTTGTTAGAGGATGTTAAAACTTACTCGTTTTCTCCTCCTCCATTATAACTTTTGAACAAGTTTCTAACAAGAAAATGAGAAAGTAAAAAATGATGCATATTTGAAGGAACACTCGAAAGAGTAGATGCTTAGAAGAGACAAAATCTTACAGAGTTTCTCGATTGCAAATCGGTGGCACAGAGCTCTCCTCAAAATTATTGTATGAAAGATCCGCGAAACTGCACACCGTCTTTTAAATTCTATTAGTGCTTTTTATGTCAAGAGTATTAGTTGAAAAGAGCTGATGTAAAATACGACAATCTTCGATAAAAATCATCATAAAAAATTAGGAAAAGCCATGGAAAATCTAGTATGGAAAATAAATAATAATTGAACTACATGAAGTCGAGTATATATAAGACTGAACTTACTTAACTACATTTAATATATCTCGATTTAGAACAGATTGAGGAACTTGCCCACTGAGCGAGTTATTCGTTAGATACCTGAGAATATGAAACAGAACTAAGAATGCTGATTAGCTTTGTATTAGAACAAAATGCCCGAATAGAAGGGAAGTTCGATCTTATGCATGCATAACAGTTAACACCAAAATTGATTTGTTCCTCACAGGTACTGCAGTTTATCAAGACCTTGAAGATCATCAATCCGTCCTTCCAGATTATTAAAACTCAAATCTCTGCAAATTTAATACGACAGCAAAACAGTAAAGCAGAGAAGTATATTTCACTAATATTAAGAAAAAACAACGCTAAGCTAATATTATGATATTAATAATGGAGTTCAAGTTGAAAAGGATGAAAACAAAATTCAAGTTGCGGAAATTACAGTTGTTGCAAGCCTGTCATATTAGCTAAATCAGGTATCTTCCCAGAAATATTACACCTCCTCAACATTCTGCATCCAAAATTAATTAATTTTTTTTTCATAAATAATACCGATTCATAGTAACTTAAGTTCATATTTGGAAAGAAAATGTATTACTCACAATGTTGTCATGCCTGTCATGTTGTTAAATGTAGGAAATCTGGAGACGCCTCCATTTAGGTCACTGATTCTACTGCAAATTCGTGTTATTGACAACTAAATTTTAGTTTGTTGATCTTAACCATAGAAAAATTGTGCTATAAATCTATAATCAAAACATGAGTATTAGCTAAATCGTCAAAGGAAACCTTAACTCACAGTTCTGTCAAGCTTATTGGTACAAAAATATTTTCTGGTATAGGTCCTTCAAAACCGCTTGCTTGAAGCTCTCTGCCAATCATGCTTGTCAATAAATTAATTAAAGACGGTTTCATCCATACAATTCAATTTTAAAGAGTTAGAGTTGAATGCTTACAGTCTTTGAAGGTTTTCCAAACCTTGAAAGCTAGGAATTTTCCCAGTGAAGTTATTCCTGCTAAACCTACTGCATTGTTTTCCCAAGGGGCGAGGACATATGACAAGTCAACATAAACTATAGAAAGAAACGAGAAAAGAGG